CTGTACCTTTACATAATAGGTCTTGATTCTCATTTTTTTCCCCTTGTCCCTGACCTCCCTTCACCCCCTCCTCCCCTCCCCATTTATAAACACTTTATTTCCATTTTTCAGTTTCTCATATTTTTTCCTCCCCCTTATTACCTTTCCCCCACCCTTCCCACTTTCCCTACACCTTTAGCCTTTTACTTCCTATTTCACATTATTAATTATCTCATTAGGATCCTGTGTACTATTATAGTTTGTCACACCAAAGAAACTATTCGGTATTTCAGTTAATCTCTGTATGAACATTAAAAATAGGGAATCCTAAAATAAAACTAAAAAGGAAAGTAAAAGAGAAAAGGTAATGATGAAACATTAAAATAATCCTTAATTCTGGAGATGAAAATGGTCCATGAACATATTTAAATTGCTTCTTGCTCTTATAGTCTTATCTTATTCTTTTTTTCATTATTTAGAAAATACTTTATTAGTTTCTGTAATCAAACTATTACTTTGTTTTTTTTGAGGGTCTTGCTGTGTTGCCCAGGCTGGTCTTGAACTCCTGAGCTCAAGTGATTCTCCTAATCAGCCTCCCAAATGCTGAGACTAATACTGTACCCAGCTCAGATCTAGTCTTTATTACTTTCCACCAGAAATGACCCACTTATTTTTGCTCACAACCCACTTGCCAAAACTAATCTCATGGCCCCAACCTAATCATAAAGGAGTCTAGGAAATACAGGAAAATACCTGGTTCTTTGGAAATCTTCATTGTTTTGGTCAAAATTTTCCTCTAGAGGTCATTTCTCTTCAGATTTCCCTTAAATACTAGTGTTTTCTGACCTCAGTTTTTTCCTTCTTTGCATACGCTGCCCCTGGGTGATCTCCACTCTTATGTCTCCCACTGTCAGTGTTGCCTGATGACTCCCAAACTCAGTGTCCAGCCTAGATTTCTCTAATCAGTCCTTGACATCTGTGTCCAACCTCCATAACATCTCCAGCAGAGAGCCTTTGGGGATGAAGCCACACCAGCTTATGGGTAACAAAAATAACCAAAGCTAAACTTTAATGGCTCTCATTCTCTCTGTCCTATCTTCTTCCATTCTTCAGGCCTTCATCGCTCCTCGGTAGGAGGGATTCGTGAGTCACTTTGGAGCAGTCTCCCTGCCTCTGTCTACCCACCCTCCCCAGGGAACTTCGCGTCATGCACTGAGTGATTGCTCATACAAGGTCCTTTAGGACCTGGGTACAGTCAGCTTATCCTCTGGCCTCATCTCCTGCTGTCCAGAGCTGCCGGAGCCAAACACAGGGGCCCAGTTCTGCCTGCATCTCCTCTGTGTGACGATGCCAAGTCACTTAACCTACTCAAACCTCAGTTCCTTAATCAATTGAATGAATGAATCTGACTTCTCAACTTTCTGCAAAAGTGGGGAGCATAAAGATGAATTTGACAAATTCTCTGTTCATAAACAACTCTCAAACATGTCAACAAATTATTTTACTATGAGATTAAGTGCTACAATACAGTAATATACAAAGTGTTATGTGATTAATGTGGAACCAGTTGTCACCAAAGCAGGGACAGGGTCCAGACAGAAGAGGCATTCAGGGCCAGGCATTGTGGTGCACTCAGGAGGCTGAGGCAGGAGGATCGCTTTGAGTTCAAGACCAGCCTGGGCTACATAATGAGTTCCAGGTCAGTCTCAACTACATAGTGAGACCCTGTCTCAAAAAACCAAAAACAAACAAACAAACAAACAAGAAGAGGCATTCAGAGTGATCTTGAAAGTGAGGTGTGGCAGTGCACACCTGTAATCCCAGCACTCTGGAATGCTGCAGCAGGAGAATCACAAATTCATGCCCGTTCTGTGCAATTTAGCAATTTATTGAGACCCTGCCTCAAAAAAAGTGAGGAAGACTGGGGATGTGACTCAGTGTGAAGTTTTCCCCCAGTACAGCTAAAACAAACAAACAAACAAATAAACAAACTGATCTTGGAGCTGTACAGCAGGGACTACTATTGTCCCCCCACCACCATGCATACACACATTCACTCTCTTCTTCCTGAACAATAGAACTCCTTTTCAGTTGAGCACACAGCGACCCAGAAAAAGACTACATTTCCCACACTCTTTGTGCTGCCATGTGACTGAGTTCTAGCCAATGGAATGTCAGCAGAAGTGGTAAGTGCAACATCTGGGATATATGTTCAATGGGAGGGAGTATATCCTATTTCTCCTTCTTGCAGGCCGAGAGATGAACCTGATGGCTGGAGATGAAGCAGCTTGCGCTTGGACATGAACTTGTTTAGGATGATAGTACAATAAGACAGAAGCAGCCCTCAGTGGCTTACATTGGGGGGGGGTTAATTTTATTTAAGTTATCCTTACCCCCTGTTTGTCTCTTACAGCTGAGCCTAATCCTAATACAAACTAAATCTGAAAGAAATGAATTCATCCCCACCAGGAAAGAGCTATTTCAGGCAGAAGGAGTAGCATGTGCAAAGGCACAGGGTGCTGAAAGAGGTGAGGTACTTGAGGAATGCCAAGGTTTTGTCTGGCAGGAGTTGGGATGAGCTACAGCAGAGGATGGATTGAATGACAGAGCTGGCAAAGAAGATCCATTGGAGGTAATGAGTGCAAGCAAGAAAGACAACGTAGGCTCTGATGGTGGTGGAAATGGAGGAGAGGGGATGCATTCAAGGTACCTTTAGGAGCAAGGAGGAGGAGCTTAGGAATAAGCATGTAAGTATACAGAGGGAGCCTGTCATCAGAGCAGAAGCTGGGCCTTTGGGCTTCCCTCCTCAGAGTCCCTGAGGAGGAGTTCAGCCTTTCTCTATGAGGAGAGTACTTTTGCTCCAATCCCTTGGGCCCACAGTCCCAGCCCAGATATTGCTTAACATCTCTTTACCCAGCCTTGCTTGCCCTGCTTGATCCTAGAGTATTTCATAAATTGGGAGATGGGAGAGTCTTTAACTCCACAGCTGCTGGCTCTTCCTAAGCTGCCTGAACAGCCTGTGGTGGAGCTGTCAAGGGGTGTTGTGTAGGCTCTGGTTGACCGCTGAACACTGTCCCTCTGGCTGGCTAGGGCAGAGTGCTCTGGGAAGTTGGTTAAGAGCAAGGCCTCTGCAGACAAACAGGCTTGTGCCTGTTGGTGGGCCAGGCAGAGTTCTACAGGAAGTTGTGGGTCATTGTTTTTGGGTCCCCACTGGCTGAGTTTAGCCCCACTCCTAGTAAAGATTCCAGGAAACATTTCTCTATTACAGTAGCCCCTTTATACCAGGGAACTCATTAACCCTCTGGATGCCAAGGAAAGGGCAGGAGGTAAGTTCTGGGAGGCAACTAAGGTCATCCTTCTTTGAACCGCCACGTGGTATTTGCTTAAAGTAGTTGTTGCCAGAGGCCAGGGCCCCTAGAGTATAAAGCAGAATATCTGCTCTCTGCACCCAGAACTGAGCAGGTAGGCACCAGGGCTGAGGGTGAAGATAGGGCTTCTAAGGGAGGGGACTGCAAGGGGTCTCAGGATAGCTGGGGGCGGGATCTAAGGCATCCTCTTGTGCTTTTCCCCTGGTTGGTTATGCCTCAGTTTTCCTGGCCATAAAATGGGAGGCAGGAAGACAGGTGAGGGAGATAAGGAGCTGATCCTGGTGCCTGTGTCTAGATTCTGGGGAGATAGTAGTGGAGGGACCATTGGAAGACAGTTGGCGCTCCATTCTCCGTACTATGTGACAGAGATAAGAAAAGGGAGCCCCCGCCCACACTTGAGGAAGACACTTTTTCCTTCCCAACCTAAGTTGATCCACCAAGGTCATTCTCTGAGTGCCAAGAGTTCTCTGCTCCCTATACCTCAGGGAAGGGTTAACAGGATTTGGGGCAAGTTGTCCCTAGAACAAGTTTTTGGTTCCTTTGCATCTTCATCCTGACCTGGCCTCCATTCAACTTCCTTCCCAGAATCCATACTGCAAGCATGGCTGCAGTCCTCACCTGGGTTCTGGCCCTGCTCTCAGGTGAGTCCACAACCTGACCTCAACGTGGACATGTGGGTGGAGACTGGACTGAGTGGGCCTGACCACCCCATCCTCTCCACAGTGTTTTCAGTCACCCAGACTCAGAAAGGCTTCTGGGACTACTTCAGCCAGAGCAGCAGGGACAAAGGTGTGATGGACCAGGTCCAGCAGCAGAAGCAGGCCCAGGACCATGTGTGAGTAGCTAGGGTAAGGGATGGGGGTGAGGGAGAGGAGACAGCTGGGCTGTGGGGTGATGTTCTGTTCCTAAACCCTCCACCTGCCCTCCCTATAGCTGATGTCTCCTTGCCCCCCGGGGCTGAGCACTAAACACTCCTTAGCTCTGTACTTGTACCTGCAATGTGTTTGAGCTTCTGTGCGTGGAGCTGCAGCTGTTTGCTGCTGTCTGTGGGATGAGGACTAGAGAGCCTGGGTGTGGAAGCCACCACCCCACATCCTTGCTTTCCCTAGAGGATCAGTTCCCGAGGTCCCTGGGGCAAAAGAGACAATGAAGCTAACAGTCTGGTGGTCTGTTCTCTTCCCCAGGAGGCTGAAAGACAGCGTTGAGCAAGACCTCAGCAATATGAACAAATTTCTGGAGAAGCTGGGTCCCCTGAGTGGGCCGGGGAAGGAGCGCCCTGTGCTGGCCCAGGACCAGGAGGGCATGAAGCAGCAGCTGCAGGAAGAGCTAGAGCAGGTGAGGGCTCGTCTACAGCCCTACATGGAGGAGGTACACAAGCTGGTGGGCTGGAATTTAGAGGGACTGCGACAGCAACTGAAACCCTACACAGTAGAGCTAATGGAGCAGGTGGCCCTGCGTGTACAGGAGCTGCAGGAGCAGTTGCGTGTGGTCGGGGAAGGCACAAAGGCCCAGGTGCTAGGCAGCGTGGATGAGGCACTGGGCCTGCTGCACGACATGCCCAGCCGCGTGCTGCACCACACTGGCCGTGTCAAAGAGCTCTTCCACCCGTACGCCGAGCGCCTGGTGAGTGGCATCGGGCGCCACATGCACGAACTGCACCGCAGCGTGGCTCCGCACGCCACTGCCAGCCCGGGAAGGCTCAGTCGCTGCATGCAGGCACTCTCACACAAGCTCACTCTCAAGGCCAAGGCCCTGCACACAGGCATCCAGCAGAACCTGGACCAACTAGGTAAAGGGCTCAGTGCCTTTCTACGCACCAGTGTAGATGGGGCTGAGGAGGGGACCAGCTTGGACCCCCAGATGCTCTCTGAGGAGGTGCGCCAGCGACTCCAGGCTTTCCGTCATGACACCTTTGAGCAAATTGCTGTCTTCACACGTGCCATTGACCAGGAGACTGAGGAGATTCAGCAGCAGCTGGCACCACCCCCACCAGACCACAGTGCCTTCATCCCCAAGTTCCCAGAAGCAGATGGTGACAAGGCCCTGAGTAAGCTGCAGGCCCGTCTGGACGACCTGTGGGAAGACATCACCTACAGCCTTCATGACCAGAGCCATGGTGATCTGGGAGAACCCTGAGCGCCAATTTTCCCAGGATCATTCCCTAGCTCCTGGTCTGGGGGCCCAAGATCTGAGCCTCTGCATGGCCTGCTTGGGGAGGCCGGAGGGTCCTGCACACACAGGATAGGTGAGGCCACCAGGGGGCTGCTGTCCCTGGCGTATCCATCCTCCTCAACTTCCTCATCCAAATGCATTACACTCACTAGGCTTTGCAAACCCAGCTTTCCTCACTCATTGGGGCATTCCCTCATGAATTTCAGCATTCAGGGTTGGAGGGAGTAGGGAGGGAGAGAGATCCTATGTCTGCAAACTTGTGTGAGATGGCATTGGGAGCTTGTGCTGAAGTGTGGTTCCTGTCACTTCTGGATGCCTGATGGTCACTGCTACAGCTGGTCCACAGAGAGAAGCCCTTGTTTCCCCAGGGCTGCCACCACAATTTCTGTTGGGCCAATAGAAGAGATCAAGGAAGAAAATACATGGGATACATGGGGAGACCATGTGATGGTGTGTGTATATCCCTGCTAGCGGTGATGCTGGTGTGTGTGAATGGTGGGGGTAGTGATGGGCTTGGGCAGGGTCTGTATTTCCTTATATAGTTCTGCATCTAAGCAAGGGACCAAGCTCTCCAAACTCCAGGGGTTTCTTAAATTGTCTAAGGATCATTCCCAGCCCTTCCTTCCTGATTCCCAAGCTGAAGTCTAGACTTCTGCTCAAATGAAATAGATGCTTATGATAGAAGCTTCTTTGTCTGGTGCAACTCACTTATCTGAGAACAGTGGCCTTGCCACTGACCCTAAAGCACACCCACCACCCAGTCCAATCCCTTGCTGCTCCTTTTCATTGACCCATTCTGTCAGAGGGGTCTGGCTCTGGCTGGACTCAGCTGTCTGTCACACGAGGTGCATGTGTGGGAAGACGGAGGGTGCTGGGATAGTCACCTTTCATCTGCATCCATATTATACAACAGCTTAGGACCACAAGACCATGTGCATGGGACACAGGCTTCCCTGGAGGAACTGTGGCCCCGTGGACCTCAGATTCCTGAGGTGGCCTGTCTCTTTCGTTCCTGCTGTTACAGACTTTGATTAGCTTTTTCTTGAGACCCACAAACATTTACCTCTCCCTCCTGCAAACACTCACTCAGAGGCGTTGAAAATCACCTGGAAACTAAAATTGGTGATGAGTATGAGAAAGAGGAAAAAGTAAGCACACCCAACTGCCCTGTCCAGTACCTTTCCCCCACCTCAGAGGGATCAGCTAGGTCTGCATAAGCTTCTCTGGGCCTCCCCTGTTCCTCCTAGCACAGACCCCAAGTGAATCTGGGCTCCTCAAGCCTGAAGATTGGTCATCCCTGACACTCTGGATGGACTGAATTGTAGCTCCAGGACAGGGGAAGAAGGAATGAGAAAGAAAAGTTTATCAAAGAAGACTGTTTCTGTTGTTAGAAACAGGGACAGGTGAGTCAGCTGAGGTCGGATGGGATAGGAATGAAAGCAGGGGTAAAAAAATGAGGCCTGACTTTAGAATTTGGGGAGATGCTTATAAAACAGAAATAGGGAACTGAAAGGGAGATACAGGAAGGAGGCAGGGAGAGGCAGCTCGACCTGGATGGGGGCACCTAGAGCCCGACAGAGGTGTCCCAAGCAATGCCTGGCACTACAGAGGACCAAAGCAAGCTCAGTTAGGAGGCACCTCCTTGGGATTCTCAGAGACACGTCGGTCCCCTTCCCCTCACGGCTGCTGTACACAGATTTAAGGACCAACTTTGGACCTGTGCGGGGAGCACTTGCGAAGGAGCAAAAAACTGCTCAGGCTCTGAGTGCATGTCCTCTGGGAAATGACAGCTGAGTCCAGAAGGATAGGCTGGCTATGCAAGTCTAGGTCGCACAGTCCCGGGAGTCGGAAGGCCCTGTCAGACACTGTTTAAGGGAGGGTCCAGAGGCTGTGACCCTTTTAAGAAAGGGCGGGAGCAGCAGCTGGCGGAAATAGGGCCGCAGAGCAGCGGAAGGGGCGGGGCCTCAAGAACAACGGAAGCCGGAAGCAGAAGTCTGAGCTACGCGCGTGCGGCTATGTCGGCTAGTGGGGCTGTAGAGCCCGGGCCCCGGGGGCCTGCCACCACCCCATCACCCGCTCCAGTCCAGCCGCCAGCCACCGGGCACTTGTTCCGACCCATCAACGCCGAGGACGAAGAACAACAGCCCACCGAGATCGAGTCGCTGTGCATGAACTGTTACCGCAATGTAAGTCTGGATCGCGGCCGCGGGCGGTGGGGCGGGAGGGCTGAGGCTGCAAGCCGCTGGAGGTCGGTCACCCAGCCAGGTGCGCCCTGAAGGATCCTGGAAGTTTTCTGGGACTAGGTCATGGAACGGAGTTTCATTGATTGTTTTTCCTTCCCTGTTTTTTTGCTTTCCCAGGGCATGACGCGCCTCCTGCTCACCAAGATCCCCTTCTTCAGAGAAATAATAGTGAGTTCCTTTTCCTGTGAGCACTGTGGTTGGAACAACACAGAGATCCAATCGGCAGGCAGGATCCAGGACCTGGGAGTGCGCTACACTTTGACCATCAGGGGCCTGGAGGTAAGAGGAGCCCAGAGCAGGTGGCCCAGTGTCCCTCAGAGAGCGTGAGGACTGGAGTCAGAGCTCTCCGTTTTTGTTTTGCTTTGGTACCGGTGATCGAGTTTGGGACCTTGCGCTTGGGAGGCAGGCAGTGGCACCACTGAGCTTAATCCCTGGCCCAAATAACTTTTTTTTTTTTTTTTTTGTACCGGAGATGAACTCAGGGACTTGCACTTTGGAGGCAGGCGG